AAGGACACGTGAAGATCGTCATTTAAAATTTCGGACTGATCTACATTTTTGATGAGTATAAATGGTTTGCACCATACCGATGCAGAAAGCATCTATGTACACCCCAGTGTAACCTCAAATATATACAAAATTCCAATATGGTTAGTGTGTTTTCGGAAAATTCTACATTAATAATGATTAAGGTTAAAGTTGGTTTTAAGGTTAGGGTTAAAGTTAGATGCAGAGAACAAACTTATATGTAAATTTGTCATCCCGACATTTTTATTAGCACTCCAGACCAGATTTAGGTATTTTTTTTCTTGTATTTTTTACATCTCGCATTTTTCATTTTTTTTTGTCAGACATCCATAACGATAATAATAGAACATAATTTGATTGTTCGATTTAAAATATTAACGAAAATTATATGATGATAGAGCTCTCAATCCAGATTCTTTATATGCAAATCCTTTATCACTGAAAGAAAGTAAAATTCTTGAAGATGAATCAATTAAATTTAAACAATTAGTCTTATTTCTAAATCTCGCTTATTGCTTAAAAAAAGATACACTTTAAAAATTATATTAATTCGCTAATTACGAATATTTAAGCATTAGAAATTTTAATATACCACTAATAAATCAGTGAATTTGCTTCCTGCAGTTTCTATCAGCTCAGCCATTCAACACAGGAATTAGTTGATATTTTCTGCAATTGAAATCGGTTCTCAAAGATCCAATAGATCCAAAACGATAACACGATGATACATGTAACACAAACATCGATGTAATTGAGATTGTGCCATATGTACGAAGTGTGGTAGTACGTATTGTGACGGACGCCACCATATTCATGTACATGTATCCAAAATCTAATTTTATATACACACCCCCTACAGTAAATATCAGAAATTTCAAAAATGAATTCGTCACTTTGGAACACGATATCTCGACATCCAGTGATCCATTCGAACAAAATATTACCATTAGATTCGCCTCGACTATACGAATCTAATGGTGATATTTTTGTTCGAATGGGATCACTGGATGTCGAGATATCGTGTTCCAAAGTGACGAATTTATTTTTGAAATTTCCGGTAATATACTGTGTACATGTATATTGATATATTCATTCAAAATTAGTAAGATTGAATAATCAATATAAACATGTACAAGTTACATTTTTGGAGGAGTTCGTCACAATACCATACTTCGTTGTACGTAATACCGAATTTGATTTTTTCTCGGTTAACAATGATAATTTCCATATTTACATGTATTATCGTTATCAGACTGATGTGATGAACTTTATTTAGACGAATATGGATAAACCGGAAATTGAGATATACATGTACATCAATTCATTTTTTGGCGATCAATTTCTAATAAAAATTAATCGACGTTTAGTGATCCAATTTGAGTGAAAATACTATATACCATCCGATTTTCTAATTTAGGCAAATCAAATGGTGTTTTGCTCAAATTGGATCACTAGACGTCGAGATATTTTGTCCTAAAGTGAACGATTCATTGTATTTGGGACATAAAAGTTTATGCATTAACAATTGCAAGAGAGTAACACCAATGATAAAATAAAGGGATTTTAATAAATATACATGTACATGTAACTGTATGCGTTAACACAGAAAGTCGAAATGTGTGCCTGGTTGGTGGCGCAATACGAATTTGATTTACTGGTGGCACAGACCAATAAGGAAATGCGATAACGATAAATACGGAAAATTTGATAAAAAAATTCCGCACCTACAAGATATATATAACGGACTATGGGAGTATTTCTGCGTTAATATTGACAGTAGAAATACCCTAGGGTAATTAACTTTTGCAAAAACTCAACGACACGTTTTATCCGTGTATTGATTGAAATCATGTCTGTTAGCCATATAATCATCTTATTATTGGGCTTTTTCACTGCATCTGTTTTTCCATGTACTCCCAATAAATTTGACGGGAATTATATCGCAATAAGATTAGCTGGAGTGGTTAATTGGCGGATGAATGTAGAATTTGGTTTTATGTAAGAGACATGGAAAGGTATATTTGTCGTATAAACAATCTTCGACTCTATTTAACAACTAGGTATATTTCAAAATTTAACAGCAATGAAAACGCGAGAATTATCACTTATAACAGCGGCGATCAACCAACGCCAAACGAAATTTTTATGATAAATCAGCCGACACGCGGGGTTTTTGAGTTTCTCCCGTTTCCCAGTTTCTATCGAGAGTATGGTAATTGGCAACCACTTACTTCCCTAATGAAAACTTGATTGTATTTATCTGAGAAAAATTTGCCATTTGAAACTTCACAATATAGCCATCGGGATACCAAGTAACATTATCAATGACACTTTCAAATTGCAAAAGAGGTTAGTGACTCTCTCTATATATATGTATATGAATAATTGTATAAACTTTACAAACAATCTGGATAAATATATCGATTTTTCTTTCCCTAAAGAACCAATTCTAGTACGCAACAATTCACTTTCGACTGTGATAATTGTGACATCCAAACAAATTCTCAGAGCTGGATACAATACCATACTTCATGTAAGATAAAGGTAGGGAATTCAAATTTCGAACAATTTAACAATAACAGTTTGTCCAATTGGCAGTCCTAAGAATTGCTGTGCGTTTTCATACATAGAATAACGGCTACAGTTTTTGTATGATTGGTGCCGACTATAGTAATACTGTGAATCAGACTCTTTGTACTGCTGCGAGCAAATGGGATCTTTGGGGGTATGCTAAATTATTTGAATTCAATGATTACCTATTCGACAATCAAAATTTAGTTATCTTTAAATTTCAACAGAAGGATATCACCTGATATTGTCAATATTACCAATTCCACGGCCTCATGTACTTCCGGTTCCGGCACATCGGCCTCAGCACCTAACAACGCAAAAGAGTCTTCTGGTGTTCAAATATCATCAGGTAAACTTGTAGGCATAGTTGTGGGATCTTGCGCGGTTACGGCGCTTATTTTAGTAGGGTATTGGTTTTTCTGCCTCCGACAAAAATCTACCAAGAACGGTGATAGCGGTGATAAAGTTGATAACGATGATCGCATCAATGAAATTGTCGAACCATAACGATAGCGATAGTATATTATCGAGAAATATGTGCTTGTTTCATTTCTTCTAGATTGATCTAATTACCAAAAACGGAACAAATAACGGCCGGGTCCGTAAGGCATCTGTGAGCGGCAACATCTCGTCAACCTGAGATCAGATTTTGCGATCTTTGAACGTTAATATCTCCGTCTCGATCAGGCAAATAAAAGTTACCAATCTTTTTTCATCATGTCCTTTAAAAATTAACAAGTAAAAATCACACGATTAAATGTGTATATAAATTTTGTTATTACGTAATTGGTCATGTGTTTTGTAATACATGTATGCTCAAATTTTTTGATGCGCACCTGACCCGTATGTATATCTACATGTATTCAGTCGAAATTATTATTTACGTTTTCTTTATTGCTATTGGGTTATTGAAATTTGCGATTAAGATGATTGTTCTTTTGTATAAGTGGGCACAATACGTATGTCAATTCCATGTTTGTTACTTAATCCCGTAAATTTAAATCAGTTGTGTGTATATTTTATGAATTTTAATTTAAGAGATACAATATTCATAGTCTGTAAACGTGCACGATGACTTATACTCACCATATAAAAAAAAAGCAAACATGTAAAAATTACAGAAATTTCAAAGAATGATACGAAATGGTACGTATAAGCATGGAGAACCGACAAATTCCGTATATTTAACTACACGGAAATCGTGTGAATTTGAATTTCGTGTTTATGTGGCTCCGTGTCAAAAAATTGAACTAAAAACGTAATTATATACATGTATATCGATATGGAAGTTGTAGCATTATACGTACTAACGCTAATGCCAAGTCATTTGGTCGATCCCATGCAATTTCCGTGGATTAATTTTTAAAGTGGGCAAAATCTTTTTATAATAACACAGTTTAAAAACTTAAAAGTCAGTTCCAAGCGTACGTTTTATAACTAATATAGCAAATAATTATTGTATAAATATATGCTTCTCTTAAAGCATACTCTTGGAACTGTCGCTATAAATTCACTTAAAGTTTTTCAAATAAAGAAATATAATTGACTCAGATGTGTTGAACTGAAATTATAGATAACTTAACGCTAGTAAACTATAAGAAAAAATTTATCGATCTGAATCATTGTCACAAAGTAGAGAAGCTGACCACGACTGCAGTTGAAAGTTCTAAAAAAATTTGCTCGATAGGTAAAAGTAGCAGAAATAGTAAAAGTGACTAACATTATCATTATTATCATCATCATTATTATTATTATTGACACAGGTTGCTGTTGCAAATTGAGTCTAAACATCAGATATCATGTGAGTATGGCATTAATATAATTGGGTTTTAAGTTAAAGCACAACTACCAAAGCAGTTTCTATTGTTTACGCATATCGATATATTATTTTGACCATTACTTTTTATTTAATTATCCAAATTCTATTTCTGTTATGATACAAGCTCGCATATCGCGATTGGTATAGTTTATTCAATTACATAGTTTACTTTTCATTTATCACGTACTTTTGCGAATTTGTCATTGTTTACTATGCTTATTAATATGACACATAAGAAAACTAGTAAAAAAATTGTATGATATAGACAATCTAAAGCCATCCAATATATCCAATACTTTAAACTGTAAAGGATTTGCATCCAAATACTTTAATAATCTTTGATAAGAATGATAATATAACGTATTTTTTTTGTGATTAAATTGTTTGGATACAAATCCTTTACAGTTTTAAGTATTGGATATATTGGATGGCTTTAGACTGTTTTATTAAATTAATGTTCTAAGCATATAGATTCAACATAAGGTGTGAAGTCAGTAGAAAAGGGACAAATTGATAATTTTATAATTTTCTGATAATAGAATTTTTAATTCCAGTCATTATTAATTGATCTATATAAATAAAAACTTTGAGCAATCAGATCTAATTTTTTATTATGAAAATAAGTGTTTATAATTATACAAAAATATGATTTATATATTTATATTATATTAGATGTAGGGATAAGAATCGATTTTTTAAAATCAATTAATTTTGAATCAATTTTAAGAATTGATTAATTTTGTAAAATTGAGAAAATTGATTCTTAGAATCAATTAATATTTGAGAATCAATTATAATTAAAGAATTAATTAAAATTTAATAATTAATTAAAATTTGAGAATCAATTTTAAAAACAAAATTGATAATGATTATGCATAATCATATACATAAATATATATAACTGGAAATTATAATTTTTATGTAAAAATCTCAATCTAATAATAATACTGTTATAGTGATTCTGAATAGTGGGTTTTATTGAGAATCACTATAAACATATGATGTTGAGAGAGAGATGATTAAACTTAAGTAAAGAGATTGAATTATAAATATTAGCAAAGATTTTTAAGATCTGTGCCAATATCCACAAATATTGTGTGTTCAAAGGTCTAAATTACAAAAATAATTTGAAAAAGAGGTAAAATATAAAGAAAAGAATAAAATAAATCAAAAGATTTATAATGATTAATAAGTGAAGTCACTATTAATCAAAGAAA